GTGTGTTCTTTTTTTTTGTGGGGGGGGGGGGCATATCTACATTCAGCACAATCACCTTCTGTAGGATTCACTTAACTTGTGACTGATTTAAGAGTTATTATTATATTTTTTTTAACAAGACAAAGCCAAGGAAGCTAACACTTATTTTTGGCTAACTAGACTCAGGTTGGAGGGAAGAAGAATACTGTCCTGCTTCCCAAACTGACGCCTGACACAGAATATTCTGTCACCGTTGTGGCGGTCTACCCCAAAGGATTCAGCACTGAGCTTAACGGCTTTGGAAAAACCAGTATGTTGTCTTCTACTTACAGACTTTGGTTGCTCCCTAAATAACAACTGATATTAATGACATCTGTAATAAATGTCTAAATTTACTGAGGTTTTACTGTGATAGTAAATAGTGTACTCAGAGTCGTAGAACTTATAGACAGTGTTTACAGTAACTGTAATAATGTTGCTTTTATGGTATGTGTATTAAGTGTATATACCTTTATCGTTCCCCAGAACCTTTGGGTGGTGTTAGGAACTTGCGGGTTACTGACCCCACTACTAGCACCCTGAATGTCCAGTGGGAGCCTGCTGAGGGAGCTGTGCGTCAGTATAGGGTCTTCTATGTCCCTGCAGCTGGAGGAGATGAGGAGATGGTAAGCTGCAGAATAGCTCTGCACCATAGATAGACTAGTTGTACAAAATGAATGCTGAGTGAAATATTCAACCATACCTCTACCAGACATAGCACAAAGTGATACATGTCTTGCTAAACTTGTTTCTAGGTTCAGGTTTCAGGCAGCACCTTAAACACTGTGCTGAAGAACCTACACTCTGATACCGTCTACACTGTAACTCTGGTTCCTGTCTATTCTGCTGGAGAGGGGCAACGCATGTCTGAAAACGGCAAAACATGTAAGAAATGCATGCATATACAATGGTGATCTATACAAGGACATCTAGAAGCAGCAGTGCCATGCCTGTAAGCCAGCTTCCAGGGTTCAGCAAAGCCCACATAGAGTGGGAAGAGGACATGACATACTGCATGAAGGCAGTGGGACTTTTTCAGGAATCCATTCATGTCGGTCCAGAATGAACTTACTGGCCCCAGTTGCTGGCTTGCTTTTGCTGTCAGGAACCTTCAATAAAGCAGCCAGTCATGTCTGATTTATTTCATAATATCACCCAAGGCCTTTTCCATCCTGTGAGCCAAGAAAAATTGATCAAATGCCATCTGTCACTTAAAATGTGAATTAACCAACAGTCAATTCACACCTTATATGTAACGTGAACTGTAACATAAAATGACAATCTTAATCTCAGTCAGTTTAGTTTGAACTTCTTTGAAGAGAAGAGATTTTGCCAATTTCTCCCACAATTTCGAACCACCAAACTCTGCTGGGAATGAGTCAGCATTTTGTGGGGTGATTGCGTAGGAAGGAATTCCTCTGGGTTGGCAGCAGTATAATGGTGTCTCCTCTCTCTTTACCATCATATTGTCCACTTATAGTTTGAAATGGAGAGTGGTGGTCAGTATAATGGCTGGTCTGGGAAATGGGGCAGGGGATATGTTGAGTAATTGGCTCTCCTTTGGGAAAAAGAAACAGAAAGAAGTTAGGAATGAATAGAGAGCATTATATATTTTATGGCTCTCAGCTCACTTGGCTAAGGTCATGCTCTGTGCCTGCTACTGCTGCCCTCATTTTCCCTTCTGGTTCTTCATGTGGCTTTTCCTTGACTTGTTAACCAAACTCTTATGCAGTGTCAGATCATACTGTGACAAAGCCTTCTAACTTTCCACTCTACTTCTAACCTTATAATTTTGTTGTTGCTGTAATTTATATTGTGATGTCCTTTCAAATTGCAGTACTTAACAATAACATCTGTTAACAATGTTTCCTTAGGTTGCTTGACAGACACTTTGTTAGATTGTAACCAAAGGCGAGAACCAGCCTTTTGGTTTTGGAAATTTGTAAAATAATATGTGATGGGTATGCCCATTATACCTTTCTATTTCTGCCTCTGTAGTGTCCAGACATGGTGGTACCCCAGGTAAGTATTTTTGTGGCAAAGCAAGAGGATGCTTTATTTTTTAAGTGATGAAAGCATGTTTTATTATTTCAACCAGTCATCAGCGCTGTTGTTCTTTGGACAACAATCATTTCATCATCCAACAAGGCCCTTAACCCATCCACTGCTCCAGTGGTGCTGCAGCTGACACATCTGGTGTTATGTGTTTGTCTGTCCTTGTCTCGTTGTATATGCCAATCATTCTAAGCCTGTTTATGAGTATATTCTTACCTGTCAAAATAAATGGCTGAAGATGGACTTCAGCTATGCATGTCCTTGAAAACAGGGATTTCGGTCCTTGTTTTTGAAGCACATTCCATCATCCACCATGTATTCATCCATCCATCTATTCATCACAGTCATCCATGCATTTTTCAGTCCATCCATTGTCATCTTTTCATCAATCCATTGCTGTTCAGCAGAGTCCATCCCTGCTTCAGTAAAGACCAATCCCACAAGAGGATTGTCTTTCTTCTTTAAAGCTGCAGTCCTTGATACAAATCATCAGACATTCTTTGTGCTACCATAAAATTAAGAAAGTGCATTATCTATACATAAATTAACTGACATTTTGAGGACAAATGACTCATTCGAGACTAAGAATAGACATCTGAACATAAGATGACCAAAGTATCAAGGACACTGTCTTTAAAAGAAAGTTTTAAGGAAATCCATGGGAAACGTGATCTTACTGCATACACTACCGTATACTGTAACAGACAGACATATTGACAAAATTGATAAAATAATTATTTTACTAACTTTGCAAATTTGTGGCCTGCATTTATGACGTTATGATGGTTCAGCACAAAACCTCCAAACATCTGCTTGGGTACTTTTTAGAAGGCAAGTTTCACACAGTGTATTCTTTTCATTAATCTTTAGGGCAGAGGCAGGAAGTGTCCTGTTGCTAGAAGTGCTGTTAAAAATGTCTTAATATCTGTTGGTTGCTGGGGAGCATTGTTCCAATTTTGTTGAAATGTTCTCATTGTAATAATTCAACAGTTCTTGCTGTCTACAAGACCATGTTTTGTCAACTGAGACAAAGGAAGAATGGCAACACCACAATTACAAAGATGTTATTTGGACACTTACTGTATACAGTATGTCCTAAAACACTATATAGGGTAAAAATGTAACAGCACTAAAGCATAAATAAGAATTGGGAAACACTAAAGTATTATACATTCAGGTGCATTTGTATGGTGGTATTATTGGTGACGTTCTTGTGTAGTAATTGTTGGTGTTAGTCTGTTGTTAACCTGACCTAAACAACCTCTTTGTTTTTGTCTGTCTATCTGTATGAACTGCTTGTGTTGTCTGTCTTTAACCTCACCCTGTCATCATGCTTCACTCTATGTCCAACTTTCTCTCATCACTCTTTTTACCACTTTGCACCTTCTTTTTGCTTTACCTTGCCCCGACCCTCGCCCTAACTTTTTGCTCCTTGTTTCTGTCTGGCTCGATAGTGGCGCGTAGCCCCGTCAGGAACATCCAGGTTTTCAACCCTACAACCAACACTCTGAACGTTCGCTGGGAGGCTGCCACAGGCCCAGTCCAGCAGTACAGGGTGGTCTACTCTCCTCGGACAGGCGCCAGGCCCTCTGAGTCGGTGAGTTTCCATCCACTGTGTGGGAAGAAATGTATTGTCCTTTAGCATACAGCATACTGTATGCATACAAAGAAAGCACTTTGAGTATGCATATGATGGCACCCATTATTGTCTTACCACAACACAAGTCTAATGACTCACTGCCTTAGAAAAACAATTACAAACTAGCCTGTTTCTTCACTTGGACCATAACAATGTGGTATTTGAAAAGTGAGGCATATTCAAGTTTACTGACAGAAAGGTGCGCTCTGCCTTTATCCATATGCACATTTATGGCAGGTTCAGGCCTGTTCTGTGGCTCGAGCCAATGATTTATATCAGTGGCAGCGTAGCCTTTTTCAGCCAGCGCCATCAAATTTCATGCCAGCTGGAGATTTGTAGCATGGATTACCACTAACTTTTTACCCCCTTCAACATACAGTTTCTCCCTTTCCATCCATCCCTCCCCCTTGCCCCCATTGTCTTGATCTGTCTTGACTGTTAGGCTGGGTTACACAAAGGTCCCATTGAGGAACATGTAAGCATGTGTATAGCTGTCAAAGGCTTCTTCCACCACCACACCTCCCAACATCAAAGGAATTAGTGACTCTTCTTTTCACTCTGTGCTGACAGCAAGAGGTGGTTAGGTAACAGGGAGGTGTCAGAGGGAGGGTACAACATCAGTAAACACCCACACAAGTGCTTAAGAAGTTCAGGAAATAAACACATTTGCTATTAGCTTTGTTTGATTTTACTGGTCTGCCCATAGTTGCGGACTCAAGGCTACACATGCACAGGCGGTGATTCCTGACGTGTTTGGTGTCTTTGTGCAGATTTTGGTACCAGGGTCCACCACCACGGCCCTGCTGGAGCAGCTGATCCCAAATACTGAATACAATGTTGGAGTGGTTGCCCTGTACAGTGATGGCGAAGGACCTGCCATCAGTGACGCTGGAAAGACACGTAAGAACCTGAGCCAGTGTGTTTAAGAGTACCCTTAAGTGTGAAAAAAAAATCTTAGGAGTATAAATGTAGTATAGGAATTTCAGTAACTAATGATGAGCCTCATTTTATGTATTGCATAAATACTTTTTTCATCATGTGTCCATGCTCAGTGCCCCGCAGTGGCCCGAGGAACATGCGTGTATACGACCCCACCACCACCACTCTGTCTGTGAGCTGGGATCCTGCGGATGGTCCTGTCATGCAGTACCGTATCACCTATGAACCGACCACAGGAGATCCCATTGAGGAACATGTAAGCATGTGTATAGTTCCAGCTGTTATAGTTGAAAAAATTGTCTTCACTCCTTTAAAAGTGACAAAACAAACATTATTTAAACCACAGTCCTCAGTGATGGCCCCCAGCTGTCATTATTCTGATACAATAATACAAATATAATTTACCCAAATATGCTTGTTCTTCTTATTTTTCTTATGTGATATGTCTTTTCTTTTGTAGACTACAGTTCCAGGAAACAGAAACAGTGTGATTCTTCAGAACCTAGATCCAGACACACCTTACAATATCAAAGTGACAGCCATCTATGGAGATGGACCAGGAGGAGACCTGGACGGAGCTGGACGCACAGGTCCAAACCATTTAATAAGTGCAGCCTATGTGTACATTTTTAACTGATGTAGAGATCATTTAAGGACATGAACCTAAGCATACCGACAGACACATATTAAAGATATCATGCAGTGCTGCACACACATACATTAACGTGTGGAAATCCCAGCAGAAAATCTGAATAGAGTGATCCATTGATTAGGACTCTGGTGTAATAAATAAAATTCTTGACTTTTTATGAAAGCCGAGAGCCTTTGCCAGAGAATGGAGAACTGGCTGCACTCCACTGAGATTTCCAGTGGAGATGTCATACCTGCAGTGCAGGCCAGTGTCTTAGTCAGTTTGCTTTTTAAACAAAAGAAATCCTATTACATACTGTAATTCCACTCTGCTCCTTGAGGCTGTTATTTCTCTGTGGTTGAATTTATCGTCATTTTGATCACACACTGAGATATTTTACTCATAATTCAGAAGTCATAATGAGTGATAATAGAGTAATTACTCTTCTGACAGTTCACTAGCAATGAAAGCATCTGCACCACACTGAGGTGACTCTGCTGTCCTGTCTCGTTTCCCACAGTGGACATGCTCGGCCCCAGGAACCTTCGTGTTTCTGATGAGTGGTACACCCGCTTCAGGGTGTCCTGGGACCCTGCCCCATCCAGGGTTAATGGATACAAGCTTATCTACCAGCCTGAGGGTATACACATGATATTATATTACATAGTAGCTGCTGTTTTAGTTCTTTTAACTTTGTAACTTGCCACTACACTTCATTGCGTGCAAGCAATGATTTATAGCATCGATATCCTCTTCCAGGGTCTGATGAGTCCTCGGAGGTGTTTGTTGGAGATGTCACCTCCCATCAACTGCATAACCTAAAACATGGAACCACTTATGATGTGAAAGTGCTGGCACAATACAACACAGGCCTCAGTGCACCTCTGATTGGACAAGGCACCACATGTAAGTTGATAATTGCTTTTATTGACTTGCATAAGTGCGCAAGTGTTGAGTGGTAGATGTTTCAAACCTTTGTTATGCAAAAAGAGATTGGACATAGGTGAAATATGGACTAACCTGCTTGTTTGTCGTTAGTGTACCTGAATGTGACAGACCTGACCACCTACAATGTTGGCTATGACTCTTTCTGCATCCGATGGGCCCCTCACAGAGCTGCCACCTCCTACAGACTCAAAGTTAATCCTCTTGACCGTATGTTTTTTTCTCAGTTTCACCATAAAGATGTCTTGTTGAATCTGACTCAAAATACATTCAATTACTGGAACCTGCCTCTGTCTAATCTGGGCTTTTGTCTCTTCTTTCTTTCTTCTCCTCTAGCCTCCAAGCGTGGAGCTCAGGAGATCACAGTCAGAGGCTCAGAGAGCACTCACTGCTTTGATGGTTTGACCCCTGACACTCTCTACAATGCCACAGTGTACACCCAAACCCCCAACATGGAAGGCCCCGGAGTCATTGTCAAAGAGAGGACATGTAAGATAACACGTTTGGATTCCATAAAAATCCCCTCAGCAGCCACAGTGTAGTATGTCACCTTCAATTTTGTGTCTCTGTTTTGTCTTGCAGTGGTCAAACCCACTGAGCCGCCGACTGAGCCTCCCACCCTACCTCCTCCAGCAACAGTCCCCCCTGCACTAGATGGTGAGTAGAGCTATGGCATTTGCATCTGTGTGCTAATAAACAACCATTTTTTATAGTTTGACTGAGATAATTCTTTACATTAACATCACTGTACCTGCACCACAGTGTGCAGAGGTGCCAAGGCAGACCTGGTCTTCCTGATTGACGGCTCCTGGAGTATTGGAGAGGAGAGCTTCCACAAGGTCATCCAGTTTGTCAAGACCATGACTGGAGCCTTTGATTTCATTAGCCCTAGTGGCATGCAGGTCAGCAAACATACTAAAGTTCCGTTCCGAAAATGTTTGGTACAAATACATATACCTTTACACCCCATATGTCTTTGTGCAGTGTTTTGTTATTGTTTGTTATCTTTTTGTAATTTGTATTTGTGCTTTATTGTCACAAATGGTCATATGCTTTTTTGTTTGTTGTTTTTTTTTTAACAGGTTGCATTTGTGCAGTACAGCGATGACGCCAAGACCGAGTTCAAACTGAACACCTACCATGACAAGGGCATAGTGCTGTCAGCTTTGCAGACTGTCCGCTACAGAGGAGGAAACACCAAGACAGGTATATAATGTTATCTTGTACTTATTCACTTCAGAATCGACGTTGTTGTCTTGACTGACATTAAACAAACCAGAGCCTGTCTTAGCAAAGTAATCATTATGAAGAAGACAAATTGTTGGTAATAGTTTTCTGATCTCTTGCTGATCTTGTTTTGTCTTTCTCCTTTATCCAGGCTTTGCTCTGAAGCACGTCTATGATAAGGTGTTCACATCAGACAGTGGTATGAGGAGGAACGTCCCGAAGGTGCTGGTGGTGGTCACAGATGGACGCTCCCAGGATGAAGCCAAGAAGAATGCAGAAAAACTGCAGCATGCTGGTTTGTGTGGAACAATTAATCATGGTCATTCTTGTTTGTGTTGTATGTACAGTACAGTATCTACAGTGGAACTTTTTCAAATGATTTAAATTCACATTTGCTTCCAAAATTTCCATCACTGGAGCCAAAGTTTGATTGATTTGCCTTATAATCTCTTGAAATAATCTCTGCAGTGATGAAACCGCAAGTGGTTATTGGAAACTTGACAATGGTCTTTTTGTGTTTTTGTGTGTGTGTGTGTTTGCTGCCACAGGTTACAGTGTGTTTGTGGTAGGAGTGGCTGATGTGGACATGGCAGAGTTGAGAAATATTGCAAGCAAGCCCAGTGAGAGATATGTGTTCCTGGTAGACGACTATGATGCCTTTGACAAGATTCAGGACAACCTGATCACCTTCATCTGTGAAACAGCCACTTCCAGTAAGGCAGAGATCAATGTATCATTAAAACACTGTTAAAGTATTTCTGCATTCCAAGAGGAAAATGTGTTGTTGACTTTTATGTTGTAATTTCTATAGAGGTTGATTTGTGCATCTGCAGAAGTAACAGGATGCTCAGCTATTGATGTACATTCAATTGCCAGAGGAAATGCATAAAGAAAGATGAATAACATTCTTTAAACCATAATCTGTTTGTTGATCTCCTAATGACTTCTTGTCATGTTTTAGCCTGTCCTCTGATCTACATCAATGGATTCACCACGCCTGGTAAGCATACAGTATTCCAATACAACAAACACATGAACGAATCCTGACAGAGTCTCT